TTGATTTTGTAGAGGCCAAGCAGACATGAATTCTTGGCTGTTATTTACATGTGATTGTAATAAGCTAATTTTGTTTAACTGTTTATGGGGATTGGGGAAAATGTTAATTTTAGGGCGTGCTTGTTTATGAAATATTTCATTCAAAATGAATTATTTTTGTTAATTAGAGTTAATTTTGAAAAATGTAATATGGTTAATTGTTAGTGGGATTTTAATAATATTTAAAATAAAATGATTATTAATGATTTGATATAAAAGTAGGATATAAATGATTGGAAATGATTGGAAATGATAGGTAGTTAAAATTATGTGAGTGGATGAATAGTGAATTAAAGTTGATGTGTTATGTAAGAATGATTGGTTTATAATATTTAATTATATAAATAATATAAATGATATTGAAGTTGAGTTAAAATTAAGTTAGATTTTGAGTGTGAAGCATGCCCTTAAGATTTGTTCTGGTGTTCCTTTTCACTGTCTGAAAATATGAGGAAATCAAAATACAGATGCTAATTTAGAAGGATAAAATTTCAGATTTTTGTTGCAATTTTGCCACATGTTGTGGTGGTGGCAATTGTTTCTCATTCTTATTAATCTTTGCCTATTTCCATTTTATACCAACGATTAATCTGGCGCAAATGTAATTTAATCTTTGCAATCAGTGTAAAACATTTTTCTCAATTTATTTTTATTTGAATTTTGTGTGCTTTTACCCCAACTTTTAGTTCTCATACACTACCTAAAAGTTTGAAAAATGCAAGCGTATAGAGCTTTAGTTGAACAACTCAACTTTGTAACACCTAATTTTGTTGGATATCAAAAACTCCCAAAGAGGTGGTTGAATTGGAATAATTTAAATCGCAATTTTTTTTATTTGAGACGGTAGTGTATGCTCGTTAAACTAAAATATGTACTTCTATTATTAAATGGGTTATTTTGTTCATGTTCGTTTTGTAAACTAAGGCATTTTATTAGTGAAACTATACATAAGACTTACTTTGTTGTTTATTTTCAGCTTGGGAGGTTGCAAGTGAATTTATGCAAATGTCGTAACTCTTAACGTAACAGCAATTCACATATGTTTATTTTTTATTTTTACCAAAACAAGAAAATGTCTATAGAAAAATGACATGAAAAGCATAATTAAAGTTTGAAAAAATGTCCTTTTCATGTCATTTTTGGGACGTGGATATGTGATGGCAACATCTACTAGAGTAATAAGTGCTAGTAAGATTTTGGTACATACAAAACCCATACTAGATTAAATACATGGCATTAAATGTTAATTTTGGCTCAGTGATGAACTGACTTGTCATATTTGGCCAATGATTACAAACAAAAAAATAAAAAAATGCTGCTTTGCCATTTGAATATACAGCCGTCTCATGTTTTTAACAAAAATGCATATTATTAAACGTTGCAACCCTCACACATTTTTTAACAAAATGTATATTTACACCGAAAATGTCATACTTTTAAAGTATTTACACCGAAAATGACATTTCAATTTTAAAGTATATATAATTTTTTTAAAAAAATAAAGAATTAAGTATATATAATTATAGGCCAACCAACGAGCTAATTTAAAATCCTAATAGTCATTAATGACTAAATAAATATTATGAAATCATTGTTTGGGCANAAAAAAAAAAAAGATAAGATAATTGCAAAAACCACCACTAGGGTTTAACCTTATCTCAAAAGGCTCCATATATCTTTCAAATAGCAAGTGAAATATCAATTCTAACTTTCCAAGTGGTACTGCACATGCATACATGCAATTTTCAAATACATTTTGGCTTCTTGATAATTAGGCTAAACCTCGGGGTGTGTTACTGTAAAATGTAAATAACCATATAATAACTCCAAACATTCAAAAGGGAGGCATTTAAATTCAAACTATACCAGATTTCCACAAATCCATTTACAATAGGGCAATTAAGCAAAATGTACAACAAATTAGCACAGAACTGAAAGTCTCCTCTAAATCTGGTAAACAAATTTCACCTCAGTTTATTTTCTTATATGCTGTACAATCCATGAAAAAAAACATTTATTACAAGGCTACAATAGAAGGAAGCTCATTATCGACCTCGGGTTCTCCTTCAGACCCATCTGCAGAAGTCTGTAATGAAAAAAGAAAAAAAAGAACAGTTTTTGGCATATTACAGACAAGTATATTTTGAACGAGAAAAATGGATATTCTTTTCTTTTCGAGCAGTTTTAGGGCCGGGCCATACCTCCGAGTCCTTCACCTTATGTTGTGATGATAAATAGAGGTCCAAGGCCCCTTTGCCGTGAAGAATCTTGGCCCCAAATCCACGGTCCACAGATTCTTTGTCTACTATAACGCCATCTATTATATTGTCCCCAGTTCTAACATCAGGAATCTGCAAGTTTAACACCGTATTTCCTTATATGTAGTAAATAATGTCCATAAAATATTTTTAGTTTTTTTTTTTTTTTCCCCTCTATGAGGGATTTAGTTCTTTTTTTTGGAGGGTGATCGTTTTTCTGTGTCTTTCAGGGTTTTTTACTTTATAGCTTATTTAGGTTATGTCTGGTCAAGCTAGCTGATAATTGATAAGTTACCTTATAACTTATAAGTGATTTTCGAGCTTATATCTTATGACTTATAGCTGAAAGGCTAAAGTGTTTAGTAAATTATGATAAGCTAGCTGAAATAAAAACTTCAACGAGCTTATTTGAAAAGCCACCCAAAGAAACTTATGAAATAAGCTCGAGCTTTTTAAAAATGTTCATCCTACCAAACGAAGTTTATTTAAATAGAGGAAGCTTATAAGCTAAACATAGCCTTAGTTACTTCAGTTTTTGTGCTATTTTTTAGGTTTGTTTTAGTTTAGTATTTCCTAGAGTTTTCTTTTTCTTTCTTTTGTAGAGTGTATTATCTTAAAGACGTGGAATGGAAAAAGAAAACACAGGCTACTAATAAATATATCAACACAATATATTCATATCAAATATAAGGCGCTATGCCAAAAAGGGTGTTTAATTGAAGCGTCCAGCAATTGGTTTGGACTTTGGACCCTAGTCGATTTTTATCTACATTATCATATCAAGCAAACGCTTAATCAATTGATTAAGGAGAAAAAAAAAAAATAATAAAAAATTCACAAACCTCGTACATAGCATCCATTAAAATATTCTCCAACAGGGACCGTAAGCCTCGAGCACCCGTGTTTTTGGTCATTGCTTTTCTTGCAATCATTCGAAGTGCATCTTCTGTGAAATGCAATTTCACCTGAAAATAATAATAATAATAAAAAAAAAACACTGTAATAAAATTTTACCTTCAGTAACAGGGATAAAACTATAATAATTTGCTTACTCCATTCATTTGGAACATTTTTTTGTACTGCTTGCCTAATGCGTTTTTTGGCTCTGTTAGAACCTGCCACGAAAATTGATGAGCATAAGATAAATTGAGTTACTAAAATATATATATATATATATATATACGGCAAAGAAAATAAAAGAAAAAATCACAATTTGCAAATAAGAGTTCCCACCTGAACAAGCTGCTCCTCAGTAAGGGCCGACAAGTTAACAAGTACAGGAAATCGCCCGACAAACTCAGGTATTAGACCGTATGCAATTAGATCACTACTTTCAACCTGCAAATTGCAATAGATAGTGCACATTTTGCTTTTATAAATTTATAATTTACATAAAATAATTCTGAATAGTTTACAAACATATATTTTTTTTTTAAAAAAAAAAAGATCAGTCGCGATTAACTGATTAAGCTTACAGTATCTAATAAGGATGATGTCACAGCAGCACTTGTAACACCGACTGTTCTCATGTTGGCTCGTACGGGAGCACCGAACCCAATTGAAGAATCGTGACGTCTGAAAATGGATTTCTTTTAATGTTTTAATTTTTCAAGCATTTACAGAGAAAAAAAAAAACTAAGATTTATTTAACATTAGTTGCCAAAAAAATTATAACGACCTTTCTGAGATTGTCTTCTCCAAGTCAATAAAAGCACCACCACATATAAAGAGAATATCTTTCGTGTCAATCTGAAGAGATTGAGAGAGAGAGAGAGAGATTATATCATGCTGATATTAAAAAGAATAAAAAAAAAATAGGTGACTGAATCGATTGTCACCTGGATATTGTCACCTCTAGGATGCTTACGAGCACCCTTCTCTGGGACATTGACCACCTGAGGAGGCAAAAAAGGGGAAAAAAAATAAAAAAGAAAAAAAAAAGATTCAAGATTGCAACTTAGCTTACAATCTATCGGGTATAGTTATTTTCAAGATGTGTTCGAAGGCTAGAATAAACTCCGAAAGGAATGGCAGATAACAATATCTGTTGAGCGTTGAGCGTATCACTAATTTCCAAAGAACTTTATGCTTGGATATAATTTTTTTTCTATTTTTTTATTTTTTGGTTTGGTATGGTTAATTTTGAAAAAAAGAAGTAGTATGTTTAGTTTCTAGTGGAATTTTATTTACATTAAAATAATATTTAAATAAAATAATTAAAGTTGATTTGATGTAGAAGTGGGAGAGATGATGTGAAGTGAATCAAGTGATGGTTAGTTAAAATTATGTAAGTGGGTGACTAGAGAATTAATGTTGATGTAATGTGTAAGAATGATTGAGTGATATTATTTAATTATATTAATATATTGAGGATAGTGGGGTTGAATTAAAGCTGACTTAGATTAGAGCTAAAAAAAAGTATATGTTTAAAAGCAATTGGTTAAAAATGATTAGATTTTTTTAGAAATACCCCTTATTGCCCAGACACATCACTAGGGCCAAACAAGAAAAAAAGGAAACAAAAAGGAGGTATAGATAGTTCATGAAAATCATTTTCACTTATTTCCAGTCCATGAACATATGTTAGTTAATCTTCAAAAGGGCTGGGACCAGATTCATCAAAATGTGCACTTGATTCTTGGCAAAACTTCAAATTGGGCACATTTTAACAATTTCACTTCCTTCTTATAAAAAAATAAAACAGAACATGCAAAAATCACAGAAGATTAAATTGGAAATGAAGTGCTCACAGTTCCCTCGAGCATCTTCAAAAGCGCTTGTTGAACACCTTCTCCAGACACATCTCTACTAAGGTTAAGGCTCTCGGCCTACAGATTTAAAAGAATTACAAATACAGCCACATTAGAAAGGTGAAAAAGCCGAATTCTGTTAAAGTAGTTTCAGTTAATTAACTAATTTAAAGCAGCTGTACCCTTTTAGTGATCTTATCAACTTCGTCAATATAAACTATGCCTTGCTGAGCAGCTGCAACATTATAATCGGCAACCTAAGGCAATTTACACTAAAAATTAGATTCAGACTTGAACATTAATTATTTTGATAAGGGTCCAGACAAGAAAGATTTTTCAATAGACCATGAAAAAAAAAACTATACTTACTGTAAGTAGTTTGTATAAGATGGACTCTACATCTTCCCCAACATAAAAATTTGAAACCATCCTTTAGCTAAAAACATAATGATATACTCCGAACCCTAGATCATAGCACATTAGAATAATAGAATTTCAAAGAGTAGTTATCTTGTATCAAGTAAAAGAATACAGAAAGAGAACTGGCCTGTGTAAGCGTAGTTGCATCAGCTATAACAAAGGGGACATTAACCAACCTTGCCAAAGTTTTGGCAAGTAGTGTTTTCCCTGTCCTTAAAAGATGACATTAGAAACAGTGAAAAAAGTATTACAGTAAATTGGACAAAACGATATGCACTCAAAATCCATACACAAAATACAGCTTTTAAGTATTTCCTCACTTCCTTACAAAATTAAGTTACATCAATCCAATATCATTAACAAAATTTATACTATAATCCTCAAAAACTCCAATCACTTACAGAACACTACAGAAGTACGTTTCTACGGAATGCTGACATAAATTTCACAAAATGAACATGGACTCAGTTTTCGAGTAATATTACCTGACCCTGTGGGACCCATAACGAGAATGTTACTTTTCTCAAGCTCCACGTTTTCAATCTCCGCGCCTTCAGTTTTGCCACCATCTGTACTCCCAGCAGGCCTAACTTTCAAGACGTAGCAATAACATCAGATATTCTTATTATACCAACACTCATATAAATCATTATCTAATCTGTGGAGAACTAGAGACAAAAGAAAAGCTATATGGCTACAAATTCGAACATTTTGGATTGAGCTAAATGCAACTATGAACTGAGCCAATTACCTCTGTGATGAATCATTATAAATCCTCTTGTAGTGATTATAAACAGCTACAGAAAGAACCTGCATCAATTTCAGAACCAACAAGACAATAAATTTCACATAAATATTTTAAACCTAACTCCCAAATCTCAATCAAACAGTTAATCCAAATCCACACCAACAAAAAATGAAAATAAAAGAAAATAAAATACGACCTTCTTAGCTTTCTCCTGCCCGATCACAAACTTATCGAGCCCTCTACATATCTCCTTCGGTGTTGGAAAATTCGGGCCGAGATTCGACCCGCCCCAGCAGTCATCCCTGTGGCCCGCCCCAAGCCCGCCGCCTCCAGATCCCGCATTCGGGTCGTCACTGTTCTCGACCTGAATGAACCTGATGGACGGCGTGACCGCAAGCCGGTCAGGCGGCTGCCATACCTCCGGCGGGTCTCCCTGCGAGCCCAAATTCTCGATTTTCTTCCTACTATTAATATTGTTATTATTCCCGAAAATTTTGGGGAAAGTCCCGCCGCCATCGATGTACTCGCCGCGGTAAGAGAGGGGCTTGAAGGGGGAGAAATTGAAAGGCGAGCCCGAGATGAAGCTGGGGTTGTGGTGGTAAAAGTAGTCGAATCGGGCGTCCCGGCCCGCATGCATGTGGTTCTGGATGAAGTGTCGGAGCTGGGAGACGGCGGCCGAAGCTCTGTCCCGGGAGGATTTCGACCGCAGGGCAGCAGCAGCCATAGCTGAAACTAATTGAGGGTGTAAATGAAACTTCAAAAATAAAAAATAATGGGGATTGAAAGTGCTTTGATTTTTGTTCAATTGCTTAGATTTTTTGTTCCAAAGTGCTTAGAATTTTGCGAAATTCTGGAAGAAGACACCAGATTTCGTCAAAGAAAGGATTTTTATGAGGATTGCAGTGGAAACTGGCACATGGGTTTTGGGGAGACGATGGTTCTGGTCAGATTATTCGATTAGCGACAGTTTTTTTTGCGTGTGTAAATTGGTGTGGAAATAATGAAAGGGGAAATGTGGGGAAAAGAAAGATTGGGTTTTCTAATTAGGGCTCGTGATTAGAATTTGGGTAAGGTATATAATATTAAGAAGATTTTTATCAAATATGAACAAGGACAGATATCTATACTTGACTCTTGTTTTTTAGTTAGAATTTTGTGTTCGGTATCAATATTGTCCAAGTAATAAACTCAAATATGAAATTATCTGTTTGTGAGAAATATTGTCATAACAAAGTAAAGGGAACTAGTTGCAAATTTTTTTATTTATTTTTTTTCAATATTGGGAGATGGAAACATATATTATCTATCTATTTTTTTAAACAAAAATAAATTCTTATACTATGACATATTGATTTATTTATTTTACTGTGATATTTCAATTTGAAAATTTATTTACTAACCATTAAATCTACAAAAAAATAAAATATTCAATTTTGAAAAATATGTATATGTTATATAGAAATCTGAAAACGTACATCTAAAAACTGATATCCTCCCATATCCTCACATATATATTAATTCAAACGTGTTGATTCTAAGTGGCAGACTCACATGTTTTGGGATCCTATATGGCAAAATTACATTTATTATTATTAGCTTGGGTAAATTTTAATTTACTTTCAAACCAAAAATAATTAGGTACGATTATCCATAAATGTGTTGATTATTTATGGTTATGTTACATATATTAATTGAAGACGTGGCTATAGGCCGCCCGCCCCGCCGACCCCTGCCCTAACCCAGCACGGTCAAACCCGTTGACCACGGGTCTGGGTTCGGAATGGATTTTCAACTGGCCGTTTCAGGGTCATTATTTCTTGACCCTGGCCCGGTGGGCCGGGCAGGTGACCCGTTTTTTTTATTTTTAATTTTTTTATATTATTCTATATTTTTTCCTTTACAAAACGACAAACCGGGTCATGGACCCGACACGAGCATAGATCCTTGCCGGCTCAGGGTTCATGACACCCAACCCGAAGGCTTGGCGGGCGGGGCCGGACCGTGACCCGGCCCGAGTTTTGGCCATGTCTAATTAATTGCATTTTATCATTTCGTATTATACCTATTGAATTGTAAATGTATTTTTGAAGTTAATAACTTTTGTATTTTTTATCAGTTTTACATATATAATAATCAAATTAATTATCTCTTGATGAGCTTCGATTTAACATCCATATTGTATGTATAAAAGAAATAAATTATATTCATCTTTATAACAATAATAAAATTATATTTTTAATATTAATAGAAAAATAAAATTATTTATTAATTAATATATTTATATTTAAAATCGTTATATGATATAAGTTTAAAAATTACTATAATATAACACATGTAAGTCACACAAGTAACAAGTGTCGTTCTAAAATACATAATAATATGTATTTTTTGTAAAAAGCTAAATAAAATTTAAAATAATTTTTCTCATTAATTTTAAAATTTAAGAATAATTTTTTAACAAGCACCCGTGTAATACACGAGTATTTTAGTAATGATTTATGTATGGGAAAATGTTTTTGTGCGTATCTAAAATTTGATAATTTACAGAACTTTATGTGACCAGCATTAGAAAGAACAATGGAAACAAGAGACAGATATTATAAAATAT